GGAGGGAGAGAGAACGAGGGAATGAAACACAATATGAGTTCATTATCTATCTCCCCTCCCCATGACTGACCTTGGCTTCAGTGTCCCAAAACAAACTTATCTAGGAATTAAATGAGAGCTCAGGGGAGTAGGACGGGGACAATTGAATTACAATCTGTTTTTGCCTCAAGACTGGAAAGAGTTCAAGGTAGAACATTTAAAAAAAGGTGAGAGTTATTGTACATAATGTTCCCACACTTAATGCATGCAGTTTGTTCATTTGCATACAAGTTGCTCTAATATCTGCAGGGGTGCTGGACTCATCTTTAATTCACCGCTTCCATTAAGAGATTGCTCTTACATGAGAACTTAGAATTCTTGCGCAGTTATAATGACAGAGAAAGATTGCAAGATAACAGGTGTTTTCAAAAGGCTGGTGAGGCATCCATCATGTAAGGGGACACCACAGAAAAGCAGCGTCAGCTCTCTTGAATCACATCCGCTTGGTATTTTAACAAATGCACAAACAAGACAACGTTGCATTATGATTCCGTATGCTCCATCTAAGAAACCACGAATGAGAAATATTGGCTGGAGTATTAGGCAAGAGCTTCTCATCTGTGGCTGTACTCTCCTCAAAGGTTATAATAACGATCCACTGTAGCTGGGGGCACTGGAGTCATGCATCAAGGCAAATGTTTGCCTGTTCAAGTGGTTAGTCAATGACAAAGTAGAAAAACTGCAGCTAAAGAGCACCAAAACTCTCTTGTGTGTTGACATACGGATCGCTGCTGTAACATATCATTACTTAGGCTGCAAAGACACTAAACAGTGTTGCCGAGAAGCATCAGAAGACTGTGAAGAATGACAACCAATGGGAAATGTAATTTTTTTATATTGCCTTTGAAGTCTGGGGTATTCAGTTTTAAAAGGTTTTAAATTACACTATCCTATAAAGCTGGTAATAATTTACATGCTATTTCTGCAACGGTGAGGAATTCACTGGAGGGCAGTGTTCAGAGTTAATGACTTGTTCTGCAGCAGGAGGAGGCACATGCGTGCACGCTGCACATGCACACTGCACATGCACGCTTAGAGCCCCCCCCCCTTTAAATTCCTGCCATTGTTGTGTGGATGGGGAGATTTGGTATAATGCACTGACTGGCGAAGACAAGGCAGCAGTATAGATGTTCTTAAAAGATCACTGTAAAAAAATAAAAAGCCTAATATCTCATTTACACTCGAGTCATTCAGCAGAACGACCTTATCCATCAAAAAGCTGGTCACATATAAGCCACTTACACTTAACTCAACTAGCATCCCAGATGCCTGAATTACCCATTCAGGGTTTTTCCCTTAGGAAAAATCAAAGAAGCAGCAAATGAATACAATCTAATTTCCCTACAAGCTGGCTTTCCAAGCACTGAAACACATGCATGGACTTCTGCCATGCACTGAAGAAATGGCTCTGGACGCATGCCAAAGTGTTTTCCACAGCAATCAATACTGGCCTACTGCTGCAGTCTCCAGCCTGTCAGTGTGTGTGTGTGTGTGTGTGTGTGTGTGTGTGTGTGTGTGTGTGTGTGTGTGTGTGTGTGTGTGTGTGTGTGTGTGTGTGTGTGTGTGTGTGTGTGTGTGTGTGTGTGTGTGTGTGTGTGTGTGTGTGTGTGTGTGTGTGTGTGTGTGTGTGTGTGTGTGTGTGTGTGCCAAAGCCTTGTCAGCTAGAGGGACGGAATAGAGGAGAAGAGAGGTCAGATGAAATCAGAGGTGATGATAATAGCACATTAATATAACATGATCCAGAAATATTCTCCGCGGTTGTGAATTCCCATTAAGAGCGCCTTGCTGTAGTTGCACTAAAGTGGGATATATAGTATAAGATAAGCATAAGCAATTAACCGCCTGAAGCAGAGTATACAATAAGTGGGTGTTGTGTGCGGTGAGCTGTTATCTTCAATAGCTCTCTCCTGAAATGACGAGTCCAGAAACAGAAAGTACCAAAGCGGCAGGCGGTACCAGCAGGAAAGACCGGCCGTTTGGAGCGAGATGAAATAATGTGTCACTCAATGAGTTTTAAAACACATGCGACTGCTTAGTCAGTGGCAGTTTGCAGGCAGACAAATAGAGCAGAGGCCCCAATAGAGGGTTTGTCATAATGGGTGAGCAACTCGACACAAAGCCTGTTTAAAGAGCAAGCAGGGCTCAACTGGTGGGGGTAAACACTGCCTGTCAGGCTGAGATGCAATGAAAAATGGAGCTTCCTCCACATATGGACTTCATTATTAACCCAGAATAAATAGATTGATACATTTTCCTCTAGATTTGTTCATCAACTATTCAGCAAACAGTCCCTGAGAGCTAGGTTTATTCAATGAATCATTATTTCTATTTCCAGCCAAAGCTGACTGGATTTAAAGCTGGCTGCGTTTAAAAAGGAATTGACCTCCAACCCTGTGACAGAAGAGAAACAAGCACAGTAGGTCATGGGTTGGTTCCTCTTGTCACTGCACAGCAAAACACACCAACACAGCACAGGGGAGGCTGAGAGCAAACAAATACCTGAGAAATAACCAGCAAATTACATCATACCTCTGCGCTTAGAACACAAGTGAATCAGTAATCCAATTCCAGTGAGCTAGTTCAATAAAAGGCTGTTCTGATGTCTTGAGAGAAAAAAAGGTTGTTGAGGATATTGTGCTTCAGGCTTATGATAATACCGTATGAGGCGTGATCTCACAGAGAAAAGGAGAAACACAGCAGCGGTTGTTTACATGTCAAATGTCGAACGCCGCTTCTGCTTTATGTTGTGTGAAAATATTCAAGAGTGAATGTAAGAATAAATGCCATAAGCCTGAAAGACACCAAGCTGGGGCTTTTACCTCTCTGTAAGCACTCAAACCTTGTGAAAATGGCACACTTCCTGAAAGCTGTATGTTATCATGGTCATATCTTTGTGAGTCACTAAGCTAATTTGAACTCCTGATTTCCAGCCTGTCAATTATAGATTCACAAAGTAACTCCAGGGCCATTAATCTGCCTTCATTCGCTTCCAGAGTCCCGAAGTTAAAATGACTAATGTGAGGTTTATAAACTCTACTTCCCAGTGTCGCTAAAAAATGAACTCCTCTGTTGACGTTTGAAAAACAAATAATCATTTTGTGCATGCATCATTCCAGTGCAGAATTTTAACAGCCGATGAGTTTTAATAACACGGCTCTTTGCGAGGCTGGTTTACTTTTCCTGTTTGTTTTTTGGATTAAAGGTTGCATCTGTAAGCACTCCTAGCTGACTCACACAGGGCAGATTAGTGTTATGGGGCAAAGTCAGCGAGAATGTGAATGGGCTCAGTGAAGGTCATAAACTGACTTGAAGTTGTCAGGGCAATTTCCACTGTGTAATATACAGTAAGTTTGATTCCCTGAGAGCAGAGGGTTTGACAAGCCCTTTAATTGAGGTCGACTGCAGACACCTGCACTGCACTTAAACACATCATCCTTAAATGATATTATTTCTAAGTCTGACTTATTCTATAAGCACACTGCAACTTCAAAGCAAGTGCATCTGTCTCTGGTGTTTGCAGGATTGTGTGCTATGATGCAAGTTGGTGCATAATTCATTCAGGGAAATAGCTTTAATTCAGCTTCTGCTTGTACTCTGTTATCACAAACACAAACGACAGCATGCTTTCCCTCCTGAATGATTCCCTGTTTCCTTGATTCTCTGAGATTTGCATTGGCATTGCAGCCCTTCAGGTAATTCATATAATATTTTCCAGATACACCCAAAGGACAGGAGTGTAAGCACTTTGCAATGCAAATAAGTATTTGGGTAAGGGGCGGAGCTGACATGTCGTTGCGCAAGTGTGGCCTCAAGATCCGCGATGCATGCACTCAAAGTAATTACTAAATAATTGCAGCGTCTTAAAGGCTAACGCGAGAGGGCTTCAGGAGATGATACCAGTTATAGAATAATTCTGCTACAAAGATGATAGCTTGTCTAAGCGGAAGACCATAAATAGCCACCTTTTCTCATGAAAGGGAAATATGATAGCCACTCTATTACTCAAGAGGAAAGAATGTAAGTAAACCATCAGCGGAAGAGTCGAGTACACACACGGCTTTGTCCTTCCTATAAACAATATAACAGCATCAGAGAATCATTTCCATCCAGCCGCAAGTGATCAAAAGCACAGAGGAGTAATTAAAGTGCTGTTGTCGGGAAAGGAATATCAGTGATCAACAACACAGCGTTTGTTTTACTGAGAAAAACTCTCGATATCAGAGTAATGCCATTCAGTGCAGCGATGTAACCGGATCACAAGCGCCACATATGGCCACAGTCAATCATAACTATTGCTTTCCTGTGCCAACAACAGCGTAATGTAACACAGAGGCGTTTTAAGTGCTGCCTCAAATGTGAGCTGACAATATCACATTGTTGGGCGATGGAAATGTCCATATGGAAAATTATGCAAAGCGTGGAGAGTAGTTCAAACGTGTCTGTGCCGCTTTATGAGTCGATCTGCCTCTTTCAACATCAGGCTGCATTACCAAATATCTAATAACTATCGTAGCGAAATATCTAAGGCAGGTTGACCCTATGCATTCATTAGTGTTTCGCAATTTCCGCCCCTATGTCAGTATTTGACACGCTTTACTAAGAAATGAAATGATAGAGACTAGGCGCAGGATTATTGCGGATTTTCCCCTTTATAACACAATTAACCCCATAGAGCGCAGCGGCAGTCTTATTGAGCGCAGCTGGACAAGTGCACAATCAGCATTTAACACCACAATAGACAAACAAGTAAAACCAGGGAACATTTACCGCTGTAGGTCAATCATTTAACGGCACATCAATGTCAGTATTGATGAATGTGTTAATGCATGTCTGCCACCGGAGACTAAACATTCACTGCCAACTCTTAATGCAGTAAAGATGTGGGTTAATACAAAAAATGCTCGAGAATAAACACCATGAAACAGCCAATATCGTAATTATTCATAAAGCGATTAATATACCTCTCCATGGGTGGCTGTGCGTCCCTGGGGAGTATCCTCGGGTAAAAAATAAAGTTTGGAGCTTGATAAAAGTTGCTTGCTTGTTCTTTCTTCCCAGAGCAGCTGAAGCTCCGCTATGCAAATAGGATCCTCCGGTTTACATCTGACGAAGAAAAAGTCTCCGAGAGACAGAATCCTCGGTTTACGGTCCTGGTGAAATTTAAAGGCTTTATAGAATATATATGGTCCATGTAAACCGCAAGACGAGCCCACCCACTGTAGAGGAAAAACACAAATGGAGAAATTAATGCATGGCTTATCAACTCATTTGGTAAACAAATCGAAGCTAAGTGGACAAAAACATCACAAACATCCCTGCGGAATTACGCATGGTTAGCAAATATCACAACAGGATATCAGCACACAATTAGTAACATGTAACTATTTTTAGATGTTCAACATATGTGGTCATACTAAATATAATGTGTCAAACTGTTGTGCATTAAGCACCTGAGAACAGTTTAGAGTCGGTGGCGATAAGCGCAATGCGAAAATAAAATAAATAGGTTGATAACAAACGTTACCTTCAGTGAGTTCGGCTCCATCTCGACGTTATGAATTGATTAAACTCAACACGCTCTCCAAACTTGCTGGCTTGAATGGATCGTCGAAGGTCCTGCAAGGGACATATTTCTGTAGAGTTTCAAACATCGTCTATTAGTCGATAAAGACGTGTACAAAAATAGGTTTGGGGGTAGATTCACTGCGTTAACCATTGGGTAAGTATACGTATTTATTTTTTGAGAAGTTGATCTCTAGTTGTGATTTTTGGAGAAGTTGTATTAAGCGTATGCATGTTTTTAGACAAAATATTAACGTGTAATGATACAAATATGTAATTTCCTAATCATCAGTTAATAGTAATCGTATTTCAACACATCAAATATCATTTTTGGACAATTATCTGTTATTAAAAGCTACATTTGTGTTAATATTCTGTGTTTTGGGGCTTTTTAAAGATCATGTATCTTCCAGGACTTCTGTGAAAGACGTTCACTATGAAAGCACATTTCTCACAGTAATGACACTGAGGCGCTTGCTGTGGATGCCTTCAAGAAACAATGTTACATGAAAGTTAATAGGGCTATCAAATGATTCCTCAAAAGGCAATGTGGGACCCGTGAGGTGCCGGCTTAGCTTTTAGCGGAACTCGCTGTGCTTTATGGCTCAGACGCGCAGGTTTGCGTTAAAGCCGGAAAATAATGTTTTTTATATATATTTTTTAGGTGAACATGAAAAGACAAAATTGGCCGACTTAGAAAGCGGGGCGTCATGAGACAGAATTCACGAGGCGGTCCATTATACAGACATAAATCATCTTAAAGTGACCTTGTGCAGACAGCAGGATATATTACACACGAGTTAACACATTTTCACGATCAAAGCCTTTAATATAATTATGTTGATTAATATTTATTACCAGAAACATCGTGGGATTTCAAAGCTATTCGGATATCATTATAAAACATTGAATTATTAATTATAGCTATGACGTGTGCACCAAGTTAAACTAACTCCACGGTTTAGATGTACATGTGGAGGACTCATTGTCCTTTCAGTCTGAATGTGTCAGCTGTATTTTATCTGCTGTCTGGAATTATTAATGTGTTGGAAAGTACCCTCTCTGTCCACACCGCGGCGCTGTTTCCTCACTGTCTTCCAGCCTTTGGCCTGCATGTATCCAGCACTCAGATCCCAGAGCATGCAACAGCGACATAGGCCTTCTTCTGACACCAGCTATTTCAAGTACACTATTACGCAATGCGTTTTTTTTATTCCTGAAATGAAGTGTAGAGCATACAGGCGCATTGATTCCCAGCCAGTAAAGTGTTTTCCTGTCTACCAAGCAGACATGTTTTCCTTCTGCTGTTATAAATGTCTGAGATCTTAAAGGCACATAGTGGCATCCAGGCTCAGAAAATAGTGACTTCTACAATCAAATCAAAGTTTATTTATATAGCCAAATATCACAAAACACCTTTGTCTCAGTGGGCTTGACAGATTCACAAACATGAAAACAGTACTAAAAGATAAATAAAATATCAATAAAATAATAAAAAGAGAAGATAGAATATAAAATTAGGTAAAATACAACAAAAAGACAATAAAAACAATAAAATACAATAAGGTGTAGGACTCAGGAGGACACGCAGGGTCATCTTAAAACAGCTTTAAGGGAAAACATCAATATAATCACTCTATTAAAGTCCTTCTACAGAACGTTTGGGAACTAGATCATAATTGTAGTCCTCTAAATTGCACCAGCAGAGCTTTTTTTTCTCCACCCTGCCCTCAATTGAAAGAAGCAGCAGAACATAATGTATTAAGACTAAAATAGCTGAGACAATGTTCTGTGACACTCTGATATTTTAAGTAGTGCATCAGTTGGCAGTAAAAGGTGCATTACACAGAGGCTCATTGTTTTAAATGCCGTTGCAGAAGTGCTGGGATTCTGCAGGGAATCTCATATAAACTGCAGCTCTTAGTGCTATTTTTCCTGATTTCTCTCCCAGCCATTTCATTGGCCGAATCAATGAGGTTGCATTGTTAATGGCACCCACTATAATGAAGTCCCTGGTTAATCAATGGCACCACTAGAGCTCTTATCTGGCAATTGCGAGTGTTTGCTGCAACGTTTTGATGCAGATATTGATGTGAGTTAGCATTAATGGAGCTTCAAGTTGATTAATCGCCATTGAATATAACAAAAATAGGACAAACGTGATGATGTGTGAAAATATTATAAAAATCTTAAAACTGAGTGGTTGCAAGGTGCTGCATAATACACATGTTTATAATATACAAGTCTCACCTGCTTCTCCTTATCTTAGCATGTCTTGCTGATTAGATAAGATTGAACAAAGGAAATCAATAAGATACATTTGCATGGTTTAACCTCGAGGGTGAGTGAACTTGAAACATGAAACGAATGAATGGGCATGAATGAGGCTCTCAAACATGTGTCCATAGTCATCTATAGACACATAAGTAGCCTGAGGAAAACACTGTAAGCCATGTTGAACAGTTTAACATTAACTTAAGGCACACCGGTAACAACTCAAATCCTGTTAAGTAAATCTGAAAGTTGCCCTCGTTTGTGGGTCGTGAATCTCTCGCAGGGGTTTTTCAAATTAGACTCAGTTTACATTCTCTAGCAGTTTTTTCCATGTTAGCAATCACTGCTCCCAGGTTTATTTATTGGGGCGTTTTGCTGAGTGGCTGAGTGAAATAAGATCACTCACTATAGGACTATTCTTTGTTTTGTTTGCAAAGCTCAGACATAAAACTTTTCTTACCGCTGTTAATGTGTTGTGGTGAGCGAAGAAGCCTGGTTAACAAATGAAAGGCACTTAAATGGCCTTATTATAGGAAATATCCACAAAAACGGGATACACTATTTCAGGCAGAAACATGCTCCTTTGTTTCCACTGGATAAGTGGTAAAGTCTAACATTTTCTCAGCACAGGTGTTCCACATTCTACTAAATGAGGCGGCCTCAGCAGGGAGCCACAAATGAGTTTGGAAACTCAAAACACAGAGCTGGGGTTACAGTTTCAACCACAGCAGAGCAATACAAAAGCCATTAAAATAGCATATTCCTACATCATTCTAACCATATGTCGACATGTCTTTATGATAAATATGAATGTTAGTTACCGCATAACAGTAATAATGATTATTTGACCACCACAGAGCTACAGGTCAACCCACAGAGAGCTGCAGAGATAACTTAAATTCATTTATGGTCAACAGGAATGTAAAATAAAAAAACATAAAAAGTACAAATGAATTATTTTCATTAATCAGTTTTTAAAATTAAAGGTGGGGTAGGTAAGTTTGAGAAACCGGCTCGAGATACACTTTTTGTTATATTCCATGGAATGCTCTTAACATCCCGATAGCAATGAATATCTTAAGTGTTTTGACAAAAAAATCCATAAAAAAATGTCATCTGTGGAAGCCGTAGTACTGTAAAAAGTACGACCAATCATCTGAGCTGGCCCGGCTAAAATAACTGGATGGCCTACCTGCCTGTCAGCCCTCCATCTGTGCACAAACTTATCTCGTGCCCTCATTGGTCATGTGCGCGTTCGTGTGTGTTGGAGGAGGGGCTCTGTAATGAAGTGGCAGATTTTTTTCCGGCTGTGTATTTTCAAATTCTAGCGCACTCGAGCTGGTTTCTCCAAAATGACCTAGCCTCAAAGTGTATACAATTATAATAACTATTTTTAATAATCTGCATTTTTTCCCCCACATTGATCAAACAATTAACTCAACTGATCAAATAATGATCAAATATATTTATTAAGTGTAACATGTTGTTATGGAGAAGAGAAATACACCCCACAAATTATCTTAAACATGAAATATATCAAAGATTAATAAACAAAAACAAAGTAATGTCTATAATGAAACGTAATTAAATTAAATTGGTTATTAATTGATTGCTTATAAATTATTTCATATATCTACTGATTTCTTGACACAGAAACAGCACCCAGCTGAGTTTTGGCCTTAGTTTGATCATGTGACCACTAACACAACTGTAAATAAATTATCATTTTGCCCCAAATCTGCTATGAAAATGGGCGCCATATTATTAACAAGTTTCATAACCATATTAACTGAAGAATTACGATTTGAACGTTTGGCTCATGCCGGCTTGTTTTACTGCCCAGTTTGAATTAAGCCGTTTTAAATGAATGTATGTTATTATTTTCAGTTTCTACAGTGGGATTATAAGGGTTTATACTCGACTAAAAAGTACCAAACAAATCTCTCTCACTCATTAATTCCTCTCAATGTGATATAAAGAACCACATTTGTAATGGCACTGCCAGGCATTATTAAAATCTACAGATGACTAAAGCAAGGAAAGCTTCTACGAAATTAGGCCAGTGCTCTGAGACTCCTTTTCTATTCCACATACACAATCACATTACCCAGTGCATATCCATCTATCATCAATGGAAAGCCCAGAGACATTAAAAATCCATGGAGTCAATTTGTCCTGAGGACCACAGTTCAATAGTAACGTTACACCTGAGTCTTTGTGCTGCTGTAATCATGACAATGGCCCCCGTCTGCAGCGTGACTTTAGGAAAAAGGTAACAGGAGATGTGAGTGACGATGCCATGCTAATTTTAGCCTCTTTAACTCATTATGACACGGTGTTGTATTTCTCTCCATTCAATCACATGCAAGTTAACCTACAGTGGACAGCACATGCTCAGGAAACCCAATGAGTTGAGTGAAAGTACCTCTTTTAATCAGTTTGATATGTTAACCTGGAGGCTATTTCAGATGATTTCTGTGTGTAATGTGTCAGCCAGTGCACTGTTGGCTGAATATTAACTGAGTCGGCTCATAAATATCTGTGATGCAGCGATACCTTCAGAACATCAAAGAGTGACTGCATGCAGTGAACTGTGTGCATCATTACTCTTCACAGCAGAATGTACCTCTTTTTTGTTTTTATCTGATATCCCGCTTGTTTATATGAGCCACCATACTTCATCATGTTTGGTGCATAATTTATACTGTAATCCATCTCAA